AATTTTCCTATATATCTTCACTAGACGATTCCTTCTTTCGCCGGCCAGACTCCTAAGGGCCAGGTAAGTTATTAGTGGGGGGAAAACGATGAGTAAATGCCAACCAGGAACTATAGGTGGTTAAAAAGTCAATAAACAAAAAAGAGTAGTGCCATGCTGACAATAAATGTTCTGGATAGTAGTTAGAGAAAGGCTGAATAATAAATACATGTTTTGCTGATAAAATAATACATGTGTCTGTGCTGCTCAAGACAGTCTCATTCTTAATTTTGTAAGATACAAAGAGGCCAATCTGGCAATTACGGGATATACTAATCTTTCTGTGGACTGACGATGGATTTGTCCATGGGACTGACGTCATGGCTCGGCCTAAGCCAAGCCCGCCGTGTATTTGTGTGTACGTAGTACAAAGTTCCGCGACGTGACGGTTTGATGGGAGACAATTTAAAGTTACGAACCGGCGCGATAACAAACGTGAAGGAATGAGGTTATGTCGCAACAAAACATCAGTGAATCCCACTAGTCTATTTGAGCGTCTTCAAATTGTCAAGGTGTTTTTGAATGTTGATACATGTTTGTTTGGATTTACTGAATGAAAATCGTCAACAGCAATAAACCTCTAGTCAACAGTTCAGTTGACAAAAATCTGACCGGCACCGCCGGTCTTGCCCAGTTAACAAACCGTCCCTGGCTATTGTCACTAAGCATTAGTTCCGCCTTTTTTAGAACGGTTGTTCTGTGCAGATATTCAGAGTTACTGAGGTCTGTACCAATTGTTCTTGATGCCTTTCTTATCAACTTGTTTATTTTTATAATGTGCTGCCTTCCCAGATTGCTACCATAGCAAGCGATACCAAAATTTATCAAAGTTTCTATTGTGGTGGTGTAGAAAATCAGAAGGATGGATGGATTCAGATTGAAAGACTTTAGTTTCCTCAGAAGGTACAGCCTCTGATTTACCTTTTTAACGATATTGTTTACGTGGTTTTGCCATGTAAATTTGTTGTCCATTGTAAGACCAAGATACGAGTATTTGTATGAATCCGTGATTTCAATAGTTTCTTGTTCAATTACGAGTGGTGGGATTGTTGGTTTTTCTCTTCTAAAATAAAAAAAATCATTTCCTTTGTTTTTGAGAGGTTCATTTTTAGAAAATTTGAATTGCACCATTTAAAAAACCTACATATTTCTTCGAAATACTCTTTTTCATCAAGGTTTATTAATCCAATAATAGCGGAGTCATCTGCAAACTTAATTAAGCGTGTTGTTTTATATATACTTCTGTGGTCGTTGGTATATATAATATACAAAACTGGTGACAAAACACACCCCTGAGGACCGCCGGTGTTACAAAGAATTGTATCAGATTTTGTGTTGTTAGCTTCACATATTGTGGTCTACCTGTCAACAATTCCAGGACCCATGCTGCGATATGATGACTAACTCTCAGACTCAGAAGTTTTTCAATGACAATATGCGGTTGAATTGTATTAAATGCTGAGGAAAAATCAACAAAAAGTACCCTTGTATACGTTTTAGATGTTTCAAGGTGTTTCAGTATAGTCACAAAAAACAAGTACAGCATCTTCTACGTTCCTCTCTTGTTTGTATGTAAACTGGAATGGATCTAGATTTCCATGAACACAACCTAGAATATTTGACAGGGTCAATTCTTCAAGGCACTTGAAAGCAATGGATGTAAGAGCGACTGGTCTTAAGTAATTTAATTCATATATTTTAGGCTTTTTTTTGGGTATTGGTATTACCTCCGATGTTTTCCATATTATGTAAACACGACCTTGTCGCCGCAGGAGCAGCGCCCCCCCCCCCCCCCAAAAAAAAAAACACACAACAAAAACACAAACAACAACAACCGCTCATAGTTTCTGTGCCAGAATTCGTTTATCGCATAAAATGGGATTAGAGTTCTTCTCAGCGAAGTGATTACCTAGGGGGCATACTACAATGTAATTTAAGAGGATGAATCTTGGATTTTCTCATTTACGCATAACGCCCAGCAAGTTGGGCATGGTGTTTGAGTTTGAATGTCCCCAGTTTGACAAGTAACAGTAAGAATAAACAAAAAGTTGGAACCAAATGATGAAGGGACAATATAATTTTATGGTACTCCACCTTTTTACTCGCCAAAGTGATTTTCATTTTGATATCCAATATGGCTCGACATAATCAGACAAGAGTCATAGATAAAAATCAACCTCTAGATGAAAAGTAAGCCCAGGAGTACTTTATTATGTATATTTTGCAAAAGTCCTTATATCGTTTTAATCTTTAAACACTTTCTCTTACCTTTCACTAAGTTTTAAAGATTAAAGTCCGCCACTAGTAGAGTTATAGGGTGGACAGTCATGACAACTTCCCAGACAATTGCAGCAAGGCCCATGGCTTCAGCGAAAGTAGTAGCACCAAAAAACAACAACAAACAAACAAACAAAAACTAACCATCCCTCAAACAGCAACAGCAGCAGCAGCAGCAACAACAACAACGACTACGACGACGACGACGACGACGACGACGATAACAACAAATGCAATAACCAATAGGACCAATAGCAAGATAAGAAACCTCAAACAATGCGAACCTAAGATACATTCATTTTTGAACAGTAAGAACACGGCAATGACAACCACAACGACAATACCACCATCAACAACAACGACTACAAAAACAAAAACAACAAAAACAAATAACATGAAACGACGCAAACAGCAGCAACAGCACGTTCCTTGCAGATGAATAACTCATACAATGGCATTAAACAGACGACGGAAAGCCGAGAACAAATTTATGGATCTAGCCTTGACTTTATTTTTAGTTTGTTCGTTAAAGTATAGTCGTTAACTCACACAACACCATTTTTTGCTGCTGTATCATAAACAACAACTATAACAACAACAGCAACAACAGCAATGAGAACATAAAAGAAAGAAATTTTAAAAATAGCAAAACCAAAACCAAAACTATTCATAACTCCCCCCCCCCCCCAAAAAAAAAATAATTAAAAAAAAAAAAATTTTTTTAAATTAAAAAAAAAATAATAAACTGACAATTTCCAGTCTCCAAGGACACGACTTAGCGTCTCAGATCTCAAGGACAACTCCCAGACACATAATTATCTTTAGTACTCTTTGAATCCAGTCAAAGATGAGGTGAGAAGAAGGCGTTGGCGATGGATTAGACTCACTTTTAGGAAGTCAAGCAGCTGCATAACAAGGAAAGTGGAACCCACAAAGTAAAAGATCTAGTGGAAGACCACGTGGAACCTGGAGAAGAGTCACGGAAATAGATGTACAGGAAAGTGGGAAGGCATGGAGTGACAGCAAGTGACTCGCCCAAGAGAGCGAAAGGTGGAAAGTGTTTGTACGTGGCCTATATCCTGATCAAGGGAGAATAAGGCAATGGTGATGAAGATGATGACTCTTTGAATGTCCTTAGTTTATCTCCATATATCTCTCTATAGTTCAAATGTTACCGTATACGGGTGCCGTTCTTATATGGCTCCTTTTCTTTCACCTATTAACTAATCGAACGTTTTATTTATTATATGTGTTTGCTTTTCACAATGAGACTACAGATTCCTCCAAAGAAAGCATCACTTGGCACACGTCCAAGAATTGCATCTCCCCACGACACCTCGTGGTATAAATATAAGAGGACAGAAAAAGTGAAACTAAAATAGGTTCAGGTACAATAGATTTGATTCTTTTCGTAAGGAACTATTTCATCAAAGTATCTGCCAAAATATAACGAAACAGTATGAAGTTGCATTTCGGCTCAGCCCTTATGACATGTTCCTTAAGATTATATTCTGGTAACAATGTTTCTTGCACATTATTCAGGAAAACAATTACAGTTTTTAATCGGCAAAGTACTAGACTTTAAGAAAAATCCCAATTTATCTCATCTTAGTATATAATACATGCATGTAAATATAAAAGAAAGAAGATATTGTTTCAAACTCCGAGTCTCTCCATTTTCCGACTGGGATTCCCTAAAAGAGTAAATCAGCTGGCCTTCTAGTTCCCTTTCAAAATAGTCGTAAATTGTGTCGATAGCAGCGTATAGCATATTTCCAATAAAGGATGGTCCTTTTTGAAACAGCAAGTACCCTCTTTCCATAGTGCACATACCGAAAACGAAAAGGAGCCATATCACTTCGCTCAAGAGAATTTTCGTGGATTTTTCAGCTGGAAAATGCTTCTGACATTCACGTGTTTTTAAATGTAAAGGGAACATGAAAAGAGTCAAAGATAGTATAGGAGAAGACGTTTTAATTTTTTTCTTCCCCACCCCTCTCTTTCTTTTTTCCCCCATTTTTTTAGCAAAAGGGGTGGGGGGGGGGGGGGGCAACATAATATGGATACAATGGAAGTGGGTATTTTGTGGTTATTGTGCAGTAAGTATTTGTGTGAAGATGGGGAGATACGTATATGAAAATGCATGGTGTGTGTGTGTGTGTGTGTGTGTGTGTGTGTGTGTGTGTGTGTGTGTGTGCGCGTGCGTGCGTGTGTATGTGAAAGAGAGAGAGAGAGAGAGAGAGAGAGAGAGAGAGAGAGAGAGAGAAAGAGAGAGAGAGAAAGATCGTAAGAGAGAAAGTGAGAGAAGAGGAAGGATGGGGCTGGGTAGGGCTGGGTGGCTACACTTCGCAGAAGGGAGGAAACAGGCAGGCAGTGAATAGTTTTTTCTTTAGTATAGTGGATTCAAAGACAGACATAAGGCAGGATAAAAAGACACGAACGTAGGTATTTACAACATTCCAACAAACGTAGATAAAAACTACTGTGCTGGCCACCGATCAGCTAACTAGTTTTGATTGGCTGTCACATTTACAAAGAGATAGACAAAAATCAATGACATGAATCAAGGACATATCTGAAAAAAATACAGCTAAAGGCCCCCCCAAAAAGGTGTGTGTGTGTGTGTGTGTGTGTGTGTGCGTGTGTGTGTGTGTGTGTGTGTGTGTGTGTGTGTGTGTGTGTGTGTGTGTGTGAGTGTGTGTGTGTGTGAGTGTGCGTGTGTGGAAAGGAGGGGGGGGGGGGTTACGAACTATCAAATCAATGTAAAACCAAACAATAGAAGCGAACAAACCTACAAACAAATCTGAAGAGGAAAGCAAAATCACAAGCAAAACATCAAACATCTCGTCAATACAAATGAAACATGAATCAAACAGATTTAAAAAAAAAAAAGAAAAGTAAAAAAAAAGAAAAGAAAGGATCCGAAAGGAACACCAACTCTGGACAAGTTCGAAATGTCGTGTGTCCAATGCTCAGGCCGCTGCCTCAATCTCATGGGGAGCACCCTGGATGGGCGGCAGAGCTGGTCGAGGATTTATCAATCCTGGTGTCTTGCTCGGAGATCCTGCGGTTTGACCGCTCGGCGAGGCCACGCCCATCCACGATTTCTCCTTGACCATCTTCAGCGTCACTCCCTGGGCCTCCTTCGCCAACCCCCGGAGTGGTGGGCCGATGATCGATCTCCGGAACGTGCGCGGGGGCGGTGGTGGCGTCGGGGTGCGAGACTCCACTTCTGTCACAACCTCGGGAACCACACGCTTTTTGGGCACAATGTCTACAATTTTGGCCAAATTTTGAGCAATCACGCCCTGATATGTGTCTTTACACTCGTGAACTCGCTCCCGCGCCTTTCTGTGCCTGACAATGTTTGGATCGATGTCGTTCAACATGGCTTTTATCTCATGCCGCAGGCTGTGAAAAGAGTAGTTATCATTGAGAGCGGCGTTAAAATCCGGGTTTTTCCGAATGGGATGTTTCTTTACCACTAATCTGTAGGCCAGTGTACGTTTGTAGGATTCTAGAATATTTACTCTCGCCTGACTTCTCATCTTAAGTTGATTTTGTGTGTTTCTTTCCATCACTGAAAGTCGCATTCTGGTGAACTTTGCCTCTAAAGAGTTCAGAACATTGACTCGCCGTAACGTATGGAGGTTGAAGTTGTTGGCTTTCATGTAGCGAGAGTTTTTGCCGAACGCTGATGTGTCCTGGTCAGCGACAAGGGAGGGGTTGTAACACTGAGGCATTCTGGGAAAGTAAAACAGAATAATTGGTTATCGTACTTTTTAAACGTAAATGTAGGCCTACTGTGGTAACGCCCTTATAACATAGTTAGGTTAGATTAAAAGCAGGGCATCTAAATTTAACTTCCGTCTTCGATAGGACCGAGTGAAATGGGTTGAGAGTCTTGGCAACTTCACAAACAAACCCGAGTTCGAGAACACCAAGCCTGGGATTTGAATTCGGACTATCTGCTCCGTAACCCTGCACGATAATAGTAATAATAAATATCATTTGTTTAGCGCATTACCCAGCCCTACAGCAAGCTATGTGCGCTTTTATTGTTACCCCAGCAGACCACAGAACACTCAGACACACTCTCGGCTTCCCGTGAGGCATACAGTGCAAGCAGCTGATTAAGCGCTCAAACACTAACAAACTGACAAGATCGTTCACTGTCGATAGTTGATACCAAAAGAGCTAACAGAACGCCCTTAGGAGTACTTCGACCTAGACGGTCAGAGAACGTATAAGAACGTATAGACTTCGACTATAAAGAATTATGGCATGATTGCGAAATTGTTCTGTAATTGGTGTACTAAGGTGTATTTATGTATGTACATGTGCATGTATTTATGTAAGCATGTATGTATTTACAATAATTATATATTTGTGTTAAATATGTTCGCCATTGTAACCCAAATTACCCTACGGGGATCGATGAAATGTAAGTTATTTTTCTATTTATTTATTTATTTAATTAATATTTTAAAAAC